CTTATAGAAGTGTGTGTGTGTGTGTGTGTGTGTGGGGGGGGGGGGGGGTGTCAATTGGTAACCTTTGTTAAATGCTCTGATTCTTGTGTTTTTCAGAGGAAGATGAATGTGCCAAACCAGACAACGGTGGATGTGAGCAGAGGTGTGTGAACACTCTGGGCAGCTTCAAGTGTACCTGCGACCCGGGTTACGAACTGGCCCCTGACAAGAAGAGCTGTGAAGGTAACTGAGTAAATCTATAAATAAAGTTTGTGTTTGCATCCTTATTCATAGTGCTTTGTGTTTTTGCAGTCTAACTCAAACGAACAACAACATAAAAATGCCCTAACCGCCTCGATCAACAAGAAAAAATATAAAAGGCGCAAACCTGCATGTCTTCTTGTTCTCATGCCGCACATCCCATCAAAGAACTTTCATCTTACTAAACAGACTAACAACATGTATGACCTGTGCACTAAAACATAGAAGCCAATGGCTTCTGAGGCTGCGAGAGAGGAAGCTGCTGGTGAAATAAACTGATCTGAGGGTTCTCTGAAGAGTGGCTGCACTGAAATCAGAAGATTGAGTTGGCGATGACAAATATTATTTTGCTTGACAGTCAGAAAGTCCTGTCTTGTTTTTGTCAAGTGTTATTGGTCATTGAAAACAACTTCTAAATGTATATGAAAGTTTGTGTGAAAAGATTGTTGTGGAAGAAGAGATGAGGTGTTTGGATTATCTCTTGTAGCTGAAGGCAAAAAGCTACATGTTTATCTGTTTCTGTCTGTGTGTGTGTGTGTTTGTCTGCAGTGCAAAATATCACCTAAACCAATGAACGGATTTTAATGAAACTCAGGACATAATCCATCCATCCATTTTCTTTACCCGTTTATTCCATTTTGGGTCATGGGGTTCGCCGGTGCCCGTGTCCAGCAATCACTGTGCGATGCTGAACATAATTACTTAATGCAAATCTACAGCTCATTTGGAGTGAACCCAATACAAGATGGCTGCTAAAGCTACGTAACCTTAAACACAAAAATAGCTGTAATTCAGTTAGTTAGGTGGGTTGGCAGCTGAGAGTCATCCCAAAATGCATACAGTACTCTCTCATTTATTGTGGGGGTTCCGTTCTCAGCACCCCCCCACCACCACCACCATCACCCCCACCACCACCAATCCCCGCAATAAGTGAAAAACCTACTCCTTAGGAGTGACAAGGATGGATAAAATTAGGAATGAGATCATCAGAGGTACAGACCAGGTTGAACAACTGGGAGATAAAGTTAGAGAGGACAGAATGAGATGGTTTGGACATGTCCAGAGGAGGGACAGTGGGTATATTGGTAGAAGGATGTTAGAAATGCAGCTGCCAGGAAAAAGACAAAGAGAAGATATATGGATGCAGTTAGAAAGGACATGGGTAGTTGGAGTGAGGACAGAGGATGCAGAGGACAGAGTGAGGTGGAGGAGGATGACTCGCTGTGGAGACCCATGAAGAGGGAAAAACCGAAAGAAGAAGAAGATATATATTAAAGCTTTATAAACCCTTCCCACACTCTTGCAATATTCTAAACAATGTTTTTAATCTCTAAACACTCTAAAAGAGCACAGCCTGTCATGATCTCCGCTCTCTACCACCTGCCAGCGCTCTCGGCCACACCCACTTCTCTGCAGAGGAGAAGTGAGTGTGGCAGAGAGCGCTGGAAGGTGACAGAGAGCGGAGATCATGACAGGCTGCAGGAGGGAGGTTCTCCCTGCACCTGTTGGCTGCACACAGGTGCAGCAGGTGCTAAATCCTTTAAAACAATTTATTTTAAATAAACAATCCATGCCACTCGTGTGGCTCATCCATCAATCAGTCAGTTGTGTGTCATGTCTAATCTTACTTTGAAAAACTGCAAAAGTCAAATCGTGAAGCAGCGAGGGACTACTATACTCTGAATGCTATGTATTATGCTAGATGTTTGTCTAAGACTTTGGCATTTACTGTTGGCTTGAACCGTTTGTCTGTTAAAGTATACTGTGAACCAACAGAGGTAATGTTATAAAACCTTTTAGAAAATAATGACTTGAAATACATATCTACAAATGATTAACGTCTACACTAAACCCAATTCAAGAGGGCCACCACAGGCAACCGGTCTTAGAAACACAGGAACGACTACAACTTAGTCAGATTAACAGATACTGAGTGAAAGTGTGATGTGGTAATAGCTGAGAGTCATTCACAACACATACCCTGAGCATTAACTCTTCTTATCAGATCTCACAGTATTGTATGAGATGTATGGGATGTGCACAAAGAAGTAGAACAAGTTTGACTAAAACAGCTATAACTCTGTATTAGTTTAGCACAAGTTTAATTTAGTATGACTTAAAAAGTGGCAGGTGTTTTTGTATTTCTTCACATAATGCTAGGTCTTCATTTTGTTCAATGTAACAAACATGATCTCCTTGTACAGTCTTTGATTTTCTTGCATGTGTGTGTTGCAGCGGCTTGTGGCGGTCTCCTGTCCAAGTTAAATGGAACTATAAGCACCCCTGGCTGGCCCAAAGAATACCCCCCCAACAAGAACTGTGTGTGGCAGGTGGTGGCTCCAAATCAGTACCGCATCTCCATGCAGTTCGAGGCTTTTGAGCTGGAGGGCAATGAGGTGAGAGTGTGCTTGCTACCCTCTGACGAGTGGTGCATTACTTACTCTATTTGTATGTTTAGGTTTGTAAATACGACTACGTTGAGGTGCGAAGCGGCCTCTCATCCGACTCTAAGTTGCACGGGAAATACTGCGGCTCTGAAGTCCCTGAGGTCATCACCTCTCAGTACAACAACATGAGGATCGAGTTCAAGTCAGACAACACAGTTTCCAAGAAAGGCTTCAAAGCTCACTTCTTCTCAGGTAAGACCCAAATGTGTATGCACTCATCAAATTGGTGCATTTAGGTGTCTTTTAACTTACCGTAAGTGAGAGTGACTGGAACACCCAGAGTGTGCAGACAAGCATGGGAGAAGTGAATTATGGTGCAGGAGTTGCTTTTGGTTTTGATGCTTAACACCACTGGAATCCATTGAAGTTGCCAGAACTCAAAGCTGATGTCTCAGCACATTTACCTCCTACAAACTTTGTCATTCTTAAAGTTGGGAGAGATTTCAGTGTTTGTGTCTAGAGTATCACTCTTATTATATAACACACAAAAAAGAGAGATTGTAACTCTTCAAATAGGTTAGTTGTGCTTAGATAGTTTCAGAATCTTTGTATATTTTATACAGGAATGTGCTTTTTTGTAGATTTTGACAAAACAGTTTTGACAACACAGTTTAGTCCCCTGAATCCTTAATTGACAAAGTTTTTCAGTTTCATCAATGGTTGCATCTTTGTTTCTCTATTTTTGTAGTACATTTTTGAAAAAAATGTTTTTAAAAAACAGTTTCAAAGAGACAAGGTTGTATTTATTTCCAGACAGCTAAGATTGGTTATCAAAAAAATATATACTTATTGAGCTTTATTTTAAAACCCATCCATTATCTTTTACCCTCTTTTTCCATTTTGGGTCACGGGGGTCGCCGGTCACTGTGCGAGGGGCGGGGTACACCCTGAACGGGTCGCAAGTCCACCACAGAGACACATAGAGACAAATGAGACAAACAACCATTCACTCTCTCACTCACACCTAGGGACAATTTAGAGTTACCAATCAGCCTAACATGCATGTTTTTGGTTTGTGGGAGGAAACTGGAGTACCTGGAGAAAACCCACGCATGCACGGAGAGAACATGCAAACTCTACTCAGAAAGACCCCTGGACCAGTATTTGAACCAGGGACCTGTTCGCTGAGAGGCAGCAGCTCTACCAGTTGCGCCACCGTGCTGCCCTTAGTTTAAAATATACAAAAAAAAGCAAACTAAGGCCCGATTGCCAGACGTGGCTCTTGGACCCTCTCAATCTGGTCCATGACACATTTAACCAAAAATAAAACAATTTGAAAGAAATGATAGGAAACCAGAATTTTAGTTATAGCTCTTGAGTAAAATCATAACTAGGTCTGTACATTCTTCACAACAATTTATAACAGAGGTGATTGTCTTATTTATTTGTTTGTTTGTTTGTTTGTTTGTTTGTTTGTTTGGACCAAAACAGGCCTAAATCTTTCTTTACCAGGCTTTCAAAGTCAAATGTTATTCTGACAAATACAAAAAATGTTTATTTAAAAAGCACTTCTAAATGTTGCATAGAGTGGAAGAGTTGATCTTTAAAGCAACTATCAAAAGTTTTAGTTCACAGATAACACTTTTAATATGCTTAGAGATACTTTTTTTTATTTTTTATTTTGTGACCTAAACATAACACAGTTATGCTAAACTTGTCATCACTGGGGAACAAAAAAAAAATCATTGGAAGCCTCTTTCAAAATAAAACATTCTGTAATCTGAAACTATGCAAAAAATGTTAGTTGCATGTCCCACAAAAGAGAACAAGACTTTTTACATCTAGTTTTGCAGATGATGTGATGTTATTCATGATAGATGCAGATAAAATGCAGTTACCAGCCAATCCGGTTTTAGAATAATCCCTCCTACTAGTTGCGTGGAAGCCGTATCGTGTCCATGACTCCACTTCTGCTGTGTTGCTGTGGCTCTTGCATGGTTTAGAAATTGGAGATCAATTCACATGTGTGTACAGCTTTTCCTACATGTATGTGGCCTGTCATGTTGCCTCCTGGGCCTCCAACTTGTCTGCGGCCTCCTGCACCCACCCCCACACTCTGACCTCTCTCCCTCCGACAGACTGGCACTGTATCTGCAGAGTACATTTGTTTTTGAGTCATGCAAGGACCGTGAGCATATTTTAAAATTATTGTTTCACTATAAGTTCACATGATAATGATTTGATGTTACCATGAAATCATTCTGTAATTCTCTCTTATTTGAATTAATGTTTTTAAATAAGCTGCAACTAAAACCTTCCTCAGTTTTCTTAAAGTTGCATTGGGGAATAACAGTGTCCACTAATACAAAACACTGTTCAGTTAGATTTCTAATAAATATACAACAGTTTTTTTTTACTTATTTGAGGATATTCAACAAACAGTTATGTTTACCTCCGCTTGGATTTCCTCCTCTCTGTCATCTATTAACGAAGAAATCAGTGACAAAATGTCAGATGTATGGGAAGAACATGTGTTTACTTACGTGAATGTTTGCATGCATTTGACATGGAGATAAGAACACAGGATTAGTTGCTATCTTTTTAAGTTCTATGTCATATAGGCTTCGCCCTTTAAGGCTGTCGCTGATGGGTTTATCCCGTTATGCAGAGCATAAGCACTGAAAAAATTTAGTCCACGCCCACCTGCTGTGTGGGCCCCACCCGGTCCGTATAAATTACGTTAAGAGAGGGAAATCGGCTCCCATTTTTTCTTCAGCGAGCTAATATAGCACTGTCAGAAGAACAAAGAGGATAAATTGTGTAAATGACCAACCTTTGTGAAGGATGCTTGGCCCGGCAGTCGACCTCCGGTCGTCCGGTGAGTTCTCCTCCCCGAGGAGAAGATGACGAGCAGTCTTATTCCAAGGTAAGCGTCGGGGAACATTTCCCAGTGACAGGTCACTACACGCTGGACGCCATCTTGTATTTTTTCCTCTTATCGCCGACCCTCGGGGCGAACCGGATGGTTCCTCCGGGGCAAGGCGTGCTCAGCTGCAGCCCCCGCTGCTCATTCCCTCCTGGGGAGCGTAGTGTAGGTGGAGGGGGGCTGAGTGAATGCTCACCCCATCCCACCTCGTTTCGCATCGGCGATCACACCGCTCCCGGCCGACAGCGCCCTCTCGGTTGCCCGGCGGAACCCAGGAGGAGGCTGACATGAAGGGACCCCTTTTTTCTACGTCCCTCGCCTTTTCCCGCCAGTTCGGATGATCGGCGGGAAGGTTGTTTTTCACTGGGCTCCACTGTGGCTCACCGTCTTGATCCATACGGCCTCGCGTTCCAACAGGACGTTCGACGGGCGAGGCCACAGACGGTTCTTTCCTGGTAGATTGGAGGAGTCGGTCCCCAGTCCGCTCCCATCACCAGAGTTGAGGGATTCACCGAGCGGGGCTATTCCTCGGTAACCCCCCTGGAGCCAAGCCTCGCGGAAGCTTTCGGAGCGAAGCTGCCCAGGTCGGAGCAGCGTCCCGTCCCTCCGGAGGAACACGAACCAGACGGCGACCATGCTCTCCAATCGAGCCCACCGATGTGTTTTTCAGGCAGCCGCAGTTAGCAACAACGTGCGCTGCTAGCATATAGCATGTCCGAGGGACTGAAGGCCGCAGACCTGCCTTGGAGACAAAGAACTCCCTCTGTAAGGCAGCTGACGCCAGCTCAACATATGTGCCTCTCCTACGGTTTGCCTGTCGAGGATTGCAGCGTGGATGACGATGACCCAACGATCCACCTGGCTTCGTTACTCCCCTCGCTGCCGGAGAAACTGCACAAGACCTGATGAAGCCCATCGCGGACGCGCTGTTCAGAGCAGCTTCAAACCATGCTGGCGAATTGAAACAGTCGGAGGAGGTGCCAGAGGCTGTGCGCCACCTCATCAAGCCGCACAGCTCTTCCCGACCCGCTGGAGGGACCGTCGCGAGCAAGCTTCGACTTTTCCACGGCCGCGGCTCTCGCTGAGTTCCACCACCAGCCCCGCCCGTCAGAATCCAGCCCTCTTCACTCCGGCAACCTGCAGCTCAGCGTTTCCCCAGAGTTCGCCTGCAAGACAGCGCTCTGGGCAAACAATCGCAGAGCTCACGAGAGAGAAGTTTCTCAAAATGACGGTCTCCGGAGGGTGTGTGTAAAAGTGACACGAAAGTTGAAATAAATCATCATTAATGATCAAAGTGTCTGTTTTTTAGCCAGTCTGTAAGCTCGGATGAGCTCACAACGGCCGCACACATTAAGAGCCGGTGTCCTTAATAAGGTTTTTTAAACTCACCGGCGCTCCAAGACATTACTAGTCGCTTACAAGGCACGATGGTAAGTGAAAATAACTCGTTATCATCTAGAATTGCACGATCCTCACTCAAGCGGTGTCAACTCGCACTCGTGGGATGGAACAGCCTCCACATGAGCCGGTGTCCTTAAATAAGGTTTTTAAACTCACCGCCGCTCTAGACATGACGAGTCGATCACAAGGATGAACAGCCTCCATCCAACGGCGCTGCGTTGATGCTGGCGCACACACACAGCTGCCGGCGCTAACCAGCTCACATCGGTATAAATGTGGTCCGCAGGCTGGTTTGGGTGGAGGTCCTTCTCTCTCACAAGAAGCGACACCCGTCTCAACGAATCAAACGCGGGCAGCCGTCACCCACCGCGTCTCAGCGTTCGGCAGTTCACCGCAGCTTAACGTGAAGCAGCTGAAAGAACCCGGTAATGAGTCCCGCCTCCCTCCAGCGCGCGCCCCTCCAGCGAGAGCGGCGCGCGTCCCTCCAGAGAAAAACGTGTGCTCCCGCGGGGCTAGCAGCCTTCACTCCAACAGCACGGCGTTAATGAAGTCACGCCCTCCGCCTTTTCAACGTTCGCACAGCGACGTCAAACGCGCAGCCCCACCGCGTCATCAGCTGTCACACGCTTCGCCTCAGCACAAGCCTCGCCTTGGATCACACAGAAAATATTCCTGCGACGCATGACGGCGGTTGAGGGGCGGACTGCTGACAGCCGTACAAAACATGACACATCACTTAACGCACGTTCACCCTACGAACGTTACGTAGAGTGGCTAAAACATGCTCGCCGTTTTTCAGATGGATGGACAAGGTTTTATGCAAATGGTACAAGTTACAGTTTGCAACCCGAACCCCTCCATTCAGAGGAGTTATAAAAACGGTCCCGTCATCATCAGACTAAATCTCATCCCTAAATGCAGAAGT